TGTAAAATCACATTACAACGTACCCCAAGTCCATCTACCTACCCTTTAGCAAGTATACAGTCACAGGATAGCTGCCAGAAGTGATCGTTTGGCTCAGGGGAGGGGACGCGGATCAGTGAAACTTCCTGCAGACTCGTGGGGACTCAGAGGAGCCGACGGCTCCAACAGCAGACTCGCAGATTCGCAGATTCGCAAATCCTGACTCGCTGCAACACACAGCGGATCAGACTCGTGCGGACTCGGAGCCGTAACCGTATAGCAGCAGATCCAGAGATCCAGCAGACTTGTCGTCATGCACGAGTCCACACAGCAGACTCGGATTCGCAGATTCGCAGATTCGCAAATCCTGACTCGCTGCAACACACAGCGGATCAGACTCGTGCGGACTCGGAGCCGTAACCATATAGCAGCAGATCCAGAGATCCAGCAGACTCGTCCGTCATGCACGAGTCCACAGCAGACTCGGATTCGCAAATCCTGACTCACTGTGTGTGCAACACACAGCAGAGCAGACTCGTGCGGACTCGGAGCCGTATATAGCAGCAGATCCAGAGATCCAGCAGACTCGTCCTCATGCACGAGTCAACAGCAGACTCAGATTTGCCAAATCGCAAAATAACCCTTTTTTTTGTGATCAACATTTTTTATTAAAGCAAAATACACTGTGTAGCGGAGGTTAATATAACGTCAGTTTAATAGATAGATAGATAGATAGTACTTTATTGATCCCAAATTGGGAAATTGTTGTTGTTACAGCAGCATAAGGCATTTTACAATAAAACAAAACTACAAAATATACAAGAATAGAAATAAAAATAAAATAAAATATAAAATATAAAATATACATGTCGAAATAGAAAATATACATGCAGATATTATATATATATATATACAAATATATATATATATATTCAAAATATATGGAATAATAATATGCTCGTGAAATGCAACAACTTTTCGGTTTCACCAATAGGATTTCTACCCTCTTGGTGATGCTGACTCATATGACTCAAATGACTCGTATGATCCGGATCTCTTCAATGACTGACTCAGAAGACCCTGAGTCTGTAAAATGATCCGGATTTGCCATCTCTAGTGCTGTGCAGTTGAGTTGCCCCTTAAGCCCCGCCCCCCGAGCTCCCACTCAATGCGCATTTTTAATGCAGAGGAAAATAACTCTCAGAATAACGTTATTAGCACATAATACAACTTGAGGACCTACTGTTTTTAATAAGGGCTATACAAATGTTCATACTGGGTAGTTTATTTGGTTAAAAAAAAAATTATCCAACGATTTACAGGGCCCAGGGACATCACGGACTGATACGGAAGTTGCAGTACCGCCATTTGGACACAGGTGAGGCCCAGGGGCGGACTGGCCATCTGTAGAATCTGGAGAACCACAGAACGGCCGCTCGTCAAGGGCCGTTGACGGCCGGCCGGCCGGCCCTTTAAAAGAAAATTGTTTAACGTCATCATTTAAGTTGCGCTGACGGCCGACAGAGGGCGACAGCGGCCGCTAATGCAGTTGTGTGGTTCTTATCTGTCAAATAATCACACACGAAGAAGAAAAAAGACCGGCCACACGAAGAGAAGGGATTATGGCGCGTTTCCACTACACGGCCTCGCTCGGCCTCGCTCGGTATGGCTAGGCCTCGTTAGGACTGTCTCACTTTATGGCGCATTTCCATTACAGTTTAGGAACTGGGGTAGTATCTATAGTAACGCAGTGTAGGCGGAGCCGTGACGTCATCTTCAATGAGAACCCCAGAAAAACAACACAGCCGTTAGCCGTTAGCACTCAGAGCTCACAGCTCCTCATATCTGTTCAGAAACTAGACAAAAGTTAAACAAGTACAAACCACAGACTGCCTGTGTCATGGTGAATACAGTCGCTGCTTTATTTATGTCTGTATAGGCCGTTGTTGTGAGTGTGGACGGTCGGAGCATATACTGCGTTAGCTTAGCCAATCTCCATTTAGAAAACACGCATTTTAAAAGGTTTTTCGCCTGCCGTCTGTCTGCAGACTTGTCAAAGCATTAATTCATGGTTTTTACTAACCGGTATCAGTATGTTGTTACTTCGGCATCATTTTGAAACGTGTATTACAATTAAATCACGGTCAAATATGTCCATCTTGTTGTAGTTGTAGCCCCCTTGCCAGCGATTCTCTCTCTAGTTTAGCATACTCAGCCCGACTCAGCCTCGTTGTCTCTGGCCCTAGACCCACGATTTTATGAGGCCAGAAAAACTGTGAATTAGGACCCACCGGCCGGTACTAGGCCAAGTGGAAACGCAGAACTGTTGCGAGAGGAGGCTAGCCGAAATTGGTTTACCTTGAAAAAATTGAGGGATTGACCAATCAGATGAGGCTCACGTCATGCCCCTGCCAACCTGTGATTGGTCAGGGCCATGCTAAAGCCAATCCAGAGGCGGCTGGCTTCCCTTGCCTCAACTTCAGTTCGTACTGTAACTGTCATCACCGCCCTTATAAAGTAGCAAGCAACTGAAGCAAGTGCAATTATGGAGGGTTTCATCAAAAATAATTTTACTAAACTTCCTCTACAGCAGCAACTAAAAATTAAATCTGATGACAGGCCAATGCCCAAACTGGAGCTGTGTAGAGAGAGGGAAAAAAGAGCGAATCGGACGTAAAACTTTAAATAATAAACAGCGGATTTCTAACATTTGACATTTTATGTGGCCGGACTGGGTCAGTTTCCAGGGCTGAATTGTTGTCCCAGTCCGCCCCTGGTGAGGCCCCACGCAGTCTGCGTGATCAGCCTGTAGGGAGGGGCGGCCCTGCGCAGGAGCCTGTCTTTAGATCAGGGTTGCCAACTCTCACGCATCTGGCGTGTGACACACGCTTTCACTCTCAATCTCACGCTCTCACGCTGCCCAAACTATTCTCACGCCAAAAATAAGAATACGAAGACTAGAAACGGTTTTGAAAACTTTTGTCACGTAGTGATCGTCTTCTCAATAGAACATCTTTGATAATGTCTTCTGGCCAATCAGAATCACGATAACGGCGTGGTGTTGTTGCAGGAAGTCCCGACGGAGAATACTTTTGCGGTAGTACATCTCTATATACATCGATACAACATTACGTGTTGATAGAAATCAACACGTAATGAAATAAGACCCCACGGTTTGATGATTGATAGGTGTGTGGGCTGTCTTTCATTTTGACACACAGAACAATGGGGGCTATCCACCCTTATCCACAATGTAAAGTAATTCACACAGCCTCTTCTGTGAGGAGCAGCAGGTTCAGCTTTCAGAACAAAGTAACACAAAACTAATATGGCATTCATTTTTTTAAATGTGTAGTAATAGATTTATTTATTTTTCTTCTCAAGAGAGTACCAGAATGTGTATTTTATGTTAGTATTTAAAAAATTCTCCTGGGGAGAATCCCCCCAGACCCCCCTGCAGGGGTTGGGTCTTCAGCATGTCAACTCTTTCACTTGTGGGGAAATTGCAGGATTGGCTCCAGGTCGCCCTTTTTATTTCCTACAAGACAAATGTGCCTTTTTATTTCATACAGTTCAATTGGGATTGAGACAGGGAAATAATCTAAACCTCACGCGTGGCGTTTCACTGTCGGGGGGATGTATGTATGTAATTACATTGCAAATACTGACTTGAGCCCCACCACAAGGGTTAGCCCTACCATAGATTACCCAACAAAAATACTCTGAAGCGCATGCGCAGATCTAAGATCCAGTAGAAATGATAAAAAAGTAAAAGTCTGCTGCTTATTGTTCTACTAGGCCAAAATAGAGTCAAAGAGTGTATGAGAGTGAGAGTGTGTTAATTAATATATTTGGCAGTTTGGAGTAAGTCTGTAGATTTGTTTGTGTGTGTGTGTTTCATGTATAGGCCTCTCACGATAATTAATTTTGTTGGATACATTTTCCCGGAAATTATTGCGATAAGCGATAATATTGTCGGCACCGTTGTATGACCATTTTAGACCACTGACATAATGATAATATATAATAATTATTCAAGTACATCCTTTCAAACTGCTTGTCACATCCTCATGTAAATGGCAATTTATCGAGGTCAGAAAAGTTATCGAGTTCATTTTTATTTATCGTACGATAAGTCAATTAATTGCTTATCGCGACAGGCACACAATAAAACAGTGGAAACAAACATGTTTGACTTTCATTAGTGAATGAAACTGTGTGCCCTTTATAGTCTGTGTCCATTATTGTGTATTTGTATATATTGTATATATATCCTATATGCTAAGGTCCCGCTGCTGACACGATAGCAGTCATTTCGTGCGCATATGTGTAATTAAACCGAATTAAACCCATGATATGAAAATCTCACTCCAGCCAGGTACCCAAAGTTGGCAACCCTGCTTTAGATGCACTTGTAGGTAGCGTTTCTTTTTTAAAGTAATGAGAGATTAGGAATGACCAGGAAATAAACTCGCAATTTTTTTGCTTTAAAACCCCAAGTCCATTTAAACGACGATTGAAACCCCAGCAGCGGGGTGTAACATACTGGCCGGAGTTCAGCGTGGGAACCAAGTCAGCGAGAACGAGAGCTCAATCAAGCTGGACACATGATGACATGACAGGAAGTTATACAAGTGGACTCCAAAATAAGGCATCGAACTAACCGTATTCCCGAAGTTTTGCATAAAATGATGACCCGTTTACACCGTCTGTTTGCCTTTACCACACATTAGGCCTTGTACTGGTACCGAGCCTGATTGTAGGGAAGCATCGTTGGGGACTGAATTTGTAGCAGACCACCAACATCACAAAGTGTGTACTTTATATTTATATACAAATAAACATACTATTTTTTGAATAAAAATGATTGTTGTTTTTATTAAGATATAGAACATAAAGAATAACATTTAAGAATTTTTAAAGTTTGTCATCTCTTTTCTTACATTTTTCACAATGGAGCTTTTATTATGGAAAACTAAGTCCGGAAGTAACATCTATTTGTATTCTGTCTACCTAACGTAACGGTATGTGAGGAAGACTTGTACGGGAAGAGGAGCCAGCAGACGCGAGGGAGCGATTCTAAGACCGGGTTGGTATTTCACCGTGTGGAGGGGTTCTGCCGGTCCAGTCCGTCTGAAACTGAAGTCGTGTGGGAGTCTGTCTCCCGTTAGTTTGCTAACCCGCTAGTCTACCAGCGGCATCTGCCTGCCTTCGTCTCATTCTCTGCTCTGTGTCTGTCTCAGTGTTGTCAGGCGGCTCAGAACCTTTGGAGACCCACACCGTTAACAAAGCCACCCTGTCCCGCTGGGTTAGGAACCGTTTGTGTACAGGTGCCGGTTTCCCTGCGGTAGGATGTCTGGACAGAGCATCACAGACCGGATCACCGCCGCCCAGCACAGTGTCACCGGCTCCGCCATATCCAAGACTGTGTGCAAGGCGACCACACATGAAGTAATGGGGCCGAAGAAGAAACATTTGGATTGTAAGTATGCCGTTTATTCTTTATTAATACAGCTTTTACTGTTGTATTACAATTGCTCTGAGTATGTATTTGAACTGAACTTCGGAACCCTAATGGTGTGTGTTGGCAGTAAGGCCTGCACATGTAACCTAACGCTAACCGTACCATAAGAGTGTAACGTGACTGCACAGCTGATTCGCCTTTTTTACATCCGATTCAAAGACATGCTGAGTTGTATCATTAATTTGCAGACTGACAGGCAGTTTGCAAATTACACTGGTTCAATGTTAGCCGCTTGGATTCTTCGTAATGCTAAAACAATGTAACTTATAACAACAACAAAACAAATAATATATATATATACCACTTTTTCCTGACAGACACATTATTATCCTGGGCATTGTCCATACGCAAGTAATCCAAATAGTTCAATTTGCTATTTAGATTACACAGAAAGACTCACATGTAATACTAGTGCAGTGTCACATAGTACAGTGTCACATTGAAGTAATACTAGTGCACACATTTACGGTGGCAACACTACATACTACACATAATGGTAAATGGACTGCATTTATAAAGCACTTCAGTCAGCATTCACTATTCACACCGAGGCAGAGGCTGCCATACAAGGTGCACCTGCCCAGGAGCTCACATTCACAGGCATTGGCTCCATTGGGAGATATTTAGGGTTCAGTATCTCGCCCAAGGACACCGCAACATGTTGACTGCAGAAGCAGGGGATTAAAGCACCGACCTTCCGGTGCTGGACGACCACTTGTCCCAACCAGTCGATTCAGTATCGTTGCAAAGGCACTCGTTAAAATGTTCTGGCCTCAATAAAGTCAAGGAAAAGCCCCATGAAATGTTTTCCCCAGGTATATTGAAGGCTTTTGAAAAAGTGGGTTGAGACTGACCGACACGCGTAGAGATGGTTACTGGCCTTTCCAGGCACCGTAGCGGTACAGATGAAGGTCTACTATGTTAACCACACACTCAAACATCTTCATTTGATCAAATATTCCAAGAAAAGCACAATAAGCAATCTTTTGTGAAAGAAAACATACCGTCGTCCTGCAGTGGCTGTTTGGAGATGGGGTCTTGCTCTTGTGTTGATTGTAATGTATTTAAATGTTTACAGCTTAGCATTAACCAAAGTCCCGCTGGGTGGACCAGGTTTTCTCAGTTTTTCACAGAACCACTGATCCAAATACATTTACACACATCACTGCACTCCCTTGGCTCCTCAGCAACACACATGCCAAGTGTGAAGTATTTGGTTGATAGGGTTGGCGAGATAAAGGAAGCACACATACAAGTAAAGTTTTGTTTTTGTTTTTGTTTAGCATAATAAGGGCACACATACATGATTGTATTATGACTTGAATCACTTAGAGCTCAGTAGTATATTAGCAGTTATATATTATTTTATGTGTGTGGCAGTTCCACTGCCTGTTGATATTGTACTAATGTCAGGAATGGCCATGGGGTTGTGAATGTGTACAGCTTAGTCAAGAGCATAATAGTTAATAAAAAAATGAGCAGGGTCACAACAACCACCACAGCATTATTATCCTCTTCCAGAGTAAGGTTACTTTTGTATTGAGCTGATCTTTATAAGGGATTCAGCCAGCTCTTTTAGTTTTAGAGGGTTGACTTTTGAATTGTTCACAAAGTCTTTGCACTTTCTGACCCTTTTGGTCATCACAGTTTAATTTGAATACAGTAAGCCAACCTGTTGAATACATGGTATATACTGTAATATTCTCCACAATATGCCTGTATTTCACAGAAATATATTTTTGACTATTTTGTTGTCACTTAGTTTGAATAGATGTATGATCCATGAGCTTAGATTATTGTGATGCATATGCAGTCTATGGTAATGTCAGTTTCATTACAGTGCTCTCTTCTGTTATATCAACCGCTCCGCAATCGACAGTATATTGCATATCACTGACAGCCCCTTGTTTCCAGGGGGATTCACTTCCATGACCTTTTAGGCCTGGTTTGAACCTAAAGTGCCCTGTTTGTTGTTGGAACATGTAGGTTTTTGAATAACGTCACTATCAGCTGATGGAGTAGGTAGTAATGAAGCCATTTCCCAGTGACCTGCTGATTGGAGACCTCCAGGTGATATGTGGAACTGCTGAACTGAAGCCCCCCCCCCCTTACACAGTTTGTGCTAAATCACAGTTCACATTCTTTAACACCTCCATGCTATACAAACTCAGTCACATAACTTAGGAGAGTCTTTGGGTTGAGGGTGAACAAATCAAGATCTGCTGCAAGTCTCAGTTGATTGACTTGTGTGTTTGTTAAAGTTAGTATGAAATCACTTCTGAGACTAAATGTACTCCTACTTGCTTTTGAGGAGTCTATACCCTGGCACTAACTACATACTTTTGGACCGCTGGTGTTTGTCGCTCCACAGTTTTCACTGTGTAGTGTTTCCTCCACTGTGTTGCTGTTGAATAGTTGCATGACAGTGATCATTTGTGTCCAGGTTATTTGCCTTTATGTAAAGTTCATTACACCCTGCTGTTAAAGGCTCAAAGGTCTTCCATGAGGTATTGAATATATGAAGTCAGCAGTGGCTGTTGACCTTTGGTACAAGCATAACAATCCTGATTCAAGTGGAAATTCCCATAAGATTTGTAGACATATGAAGTCCTCTATGATGTTCTGTTGTGTCAGTTATTGAGAAGCTGTAGGCTCCGATGTGTTCATGGCACACACTCTGTAATTTGAAAGGTGAGGTGCTTTTTTCATGGCTGCCCTGCTCTATTCACATCATTTATAATTTCTCTCCCTTCTGCCTCTCCTCCCGCTTTAGTCGGTAAAACATTAAAGGAAGACGTCCAGAGTAGAAGGCCATTGTTGGTGTTATTTTGTAACTATTGAAATGGAAAAGTAATGGAATGCTGAAGACATAATTTCGCCCATGTTGGGATTTTTTTTTGAGGCAGATGTGAAATACAAGTGGAGTAACAACTTGATGTTAAATATTAAGATTAGTCAACACAAAACATATTGTATCTAATACTTGATTTGCATTTATTTAAGACCATGATGTTGTTCAAATGCTGCATGTGTGATAGGGCTTGATGATTGGAGCTTTATTACAGGCAAGAGCTCCAACAAGACATTTGCACCACTTCCTGTTACAGGGTGCAGAGGGTTTGGCAAGCAGTGTGCTCAGCTGATAGGTGTGCGGTCGCTATGTGTTTATTTCCATTGTCATATTAAAAGAGCATTTATAATAGAGATTTTTATGAACTACTCGGAGTGCTCTCTTTAAAACCCAAACTAGTCAGTTTGTTTATTAAAATGTGTTTATACATTGACTGGGTGTACATATTTTATGAAATATGTTTTACTGAAAGCAAGTCATGTTGAAGCAAATGTCTGGAGTGAGTGAATGCTTATGTTCTGACAATCTCCCACACCCTGGCCTACATGCAAAACTGTATGGAATGAAACTGTGATGCTTTGAAAGAGATCATTCACATCCCACCTGTTTTGAGTTTGATGGCTGGATTGTGGCAACAATTTCAGCCGGTTCTCTGTTGGCAACATTTGCTTTTGCCTAATGGAATTGTATGACCTGTAGGGCAAACAATTATTTAAAGGTCCCATGTCATGCTTTTCCGGTTATTACCCGTCCCCTTGTGTGTTATGTAGCTTTTTCTGCATGTAAACGGTCTGCAGAGTCAAAAACCCTCAAAGTACACCCTGTAGCGAGTAAAACTCTAACACAGAAAATACCTGTCTATGCTGCCCCAAAACGCCTCGTCGGAGATTTTTCATTTTCCATTTTTTTCTTCCTGGGTATGGTGACGTAACCATACCCAATTGGTCCAAATGGACCAATCCGCGGAGCCGTTATGTTACGTCTTCCTCACACACACACACACTCAATCTTTTCTCAGCTGCAGCTCCGCGGATTTCTCAGCCTGAGACGGAGAGACGCGGCGAGGCTGTGAGTCTGTGTGTGAGCACAAGAATCTGGGTTTATAGAAATGTTGGAGGTCTAAAAAAAGTTGTGGGCATACATGCAGTGCAAGATGATGAACTGTTACATTAACGGTAAAATGTGCAAGCAGAAGATTTAAAGGCCATCAAAATTGTATTTAGTATTTTTGCTAAAGGGTTTATTGCAAAGTTTGAAATGTTAAAAATGTGAGTTGATGTTATTGCTTTGGCAATTGTATTTGCACCTGCATGTGCAGCATGATTCACAGATGCCCCTTTCACACCAACGCGTTCTCAGCTCCGGCTCGGAGCTGGAGCCTGAAAAGTACCGGTTTTTCCTGTTCACACCGCAGCGGCACCGCCTCTTAGCTCCGGAATGCGGTTCAGTTCCAGCTCCAAAAAATTGTCGGTCTAGAGGCAAGAGCTTCGGAGCTAGAGGCGGCGTCGCTTACGTCTCTCTTACGTCGAGGTGTGCAGGAAACTAAACCCACCTCCCCTGAACATGGGTTGACTGAAGAGTCTCGTCATGCCTGCCTCCAAGCAGTAGCGCTGAGCAAAGTGACTAGAAGGCAACCACACATTTATAAAAAAAAAACACACTTTATAAAGTCAGGCAACACTAACCAGGCTTCGTGTGATTCTGTTTATTTGTACCTTACTTTGACCATCCGTTCGCTGTTATTGATCATTGTGGAGAGCAGGCAGACGTTTTGTTTTGTATTATAGCAGCTATCGGATGGAATCAATACATGGGCTGCACAGGTTGTCATGTCCGACTATCACAAGTAGAATCATAATGAAAAATACGCCGGTAAAATGTGCCTGTAGAAAACGGCTTAGCAAGTAGTCCGTTTAGCTTCGGTTGCTATGCTAACATCACCCATGTTATACCAGAGAAACTTTCATAACAGCGTTGTGATGCCAAACAGCGTCAATTCAGACTGACACACATTCACTTAAGGGGAACTGGGGATATGAATCAGCTGCTTGTGTGACAGTCAGACAGTGAATACTTTAGAGCCGTGTGAGCTAACCCGGAGCTAACG